AGAAGAGAATCGTTATGCAAGAGAATTAAGAGCCCTATCATTCTAAAGACATTCGCTCCTTAGTAGGCTACGTGCGTATAGCTGATACAGTGTCATTCTGCCCTACTTCCCCTGTGCATTTCACAACAGGGAAAACAATAGGAGAAAAAGAGCGGGAAACACCATCTGGCCACCTCATGATCTTATGTGAAAAGGGAAAGATAAAATCCGGCATCGCCCCCAATGTCTCTCATTTCCTCTCTAAATCCTCTTCATGCTTTTAGGCCCTCGTATCGTCCCCCTGCACGGCCCACAATTCGGCCCCACGACTAGTGGCTGTTTGGGCTTCGCCTGGAAAACTTCTTGGGTTTCTGTCAAGGGAGCATCATCATCATCATCATTATCATTATCGCCTTTATCCGGCTTCATCCGTCGACTCTCAGTGCGACCGTTCACGATGGATGCCAGTTGCCCATCATCACAGCACAATCGGTGGGATATCTCGATCCTCGTGCATGTGCATTTAGCTAATGATTCACAGCCCCTTTTCCCAGCTACCCCAGGACTGCTTAGTGAGTATCCTGGATCATCTTGCCTTGGATGATGCCTTGTCCTTAGCGGCCAGCTGCGACGACCTGCAGGCGTCATCCATGCCCTTTGTTTTCCGTGACCTCAGGATAGACTGGACCAACCGACCCCGACAGAAGGTGTTGCAACTGCTGCATATTATCTTTAAGGATCCCGAATACGCATTATATGTCCAGCATGTGAGCATGATGGGGTCCAGCTACCCGTGGGAAGACAAGGACCCGGTGGACTGGGAAAGCGAGCGGCACGAATTCGAAGGCTTGACCGACCGGGCGATGGATCTGGTGCGACGAGCCGGTGTTCCAAACCTTGATCTTTGGCATATAGCCATCCACGGCGGAAATATCTATGCGTTGGCTACCGTGTTCCTATCGCAGCTACCAAACATCAAGTCGCTGCGCCTGGATTATTCGTTTGTCTGGTGGGACGGATATCCAGGTATTATGCTAAAGCAGGCTTTATTGCACCCTAACGGAGTGTTTTCAACGTTTGATCAGCTTGAAACGGTCGAGTACGGTGCAAATGTCCCGATCGCTGAGGACTACCAGCCACTCGAGGACGAGGTACCCGACGGATATCCTCCTTATAACTCACGCCAATTTATGGCTTGGTTCTGTCTGCCCGCCCTGCGTCATATGAATATCTGGCTGCGGGATATCGAAGGCCTCCAGGAAACTAAGCCGGACCTTGACCTTAGCAATCTGGAAACACTCATTGTAGCCAGAAGCACTGCCACTGAATATCATATGGATTACCTTCTTTCGCGAGCGCCGAATCTCAAAAGTCTCCACGTCGCACTCGCCTTTGCCTGGGTAGGTGAGCCGATTTTAGATGACGCTACTATCTTCGCGCAGGCATTGCTGGCGGTCAGCCCGACGTTAGAGAAACTCTCTCTCGGGGTAGAATATTACCCCTCTAATCTAGGCGATCGCGAGTGGAATGAGAGGGATAACGAAGCCTTCGAACCATTTCGGCAATTGTTTACTCGCTTTACAAATCTTCAAGAGGCCGAGATTCCCTTGGTCATACTGTTAGGGTGGTATTCTGATGAGTTGCCTGATCTTGGGCCTCTTTTGCCTGAATCACTCTCCCACTTATGCCTGCGAGACGATTTACAGGGCTTTTACGATTTCGAATGGACAGAAGGCCGGGTGCTCCTGTTGCTGGAGTCCTATCTCCAAGATGGAAAGTGGAAGGCGCATACGCCGTCTCTAAAACGCATCACGTTACGTCTCTGGGATCAGAATTATACCCTTTTCAGACACGACCAGGAAGACCAGTTGCGAGAAGTTGCTAACAAGGCCGGGATTGAATTCAATGTTGTGGTAGATGATCTCGGTACAGGCTTGTGGGCTTTGAATCCTCCTTCAGTTTGAAACCTGCTACGGTTAGGCAATTCACACACTCGCTCTTTTCTTTCAATTCTACATTTTTAGTCTGCGTTCGAAGCAAGCGCATATGAGTCCATTCTAGATAGGGACTTCAACAGAATATAGAGGGTAATTAGGTCATTGCCATAATCGAGTCGTGCGTGAGACTATACTTAGATCAGAGTCACATTGCATCTTATCGGGAGAAAAGGACCAACAAGTCAAATTAAGGGCCTAGGAATATCTCCAACAACGTTCTTTTTATATTCTCTGCTAATCTATATTGAACAGCAGACTAGTGCCCGACGCCAAATCTATCAGTTACGCATTGGTCTAATTGCAAATCCAACGGAAGCCTATATTATACACTGAGTCTTTTTACCGACTCTTCTGTGCCCACAACCGAGGGTGGCTCTCGTTTAGTTTACTTTCCTCCCTTCTTCTTCTTCTTGGGGTCATTCTTGGTGTCAGGCTTCTTCGCCGGAGGCTGAGTAGGTGGCTTCTTGGGAGTATCGTCTTTGGGCTTGGTAGCAGGCGGCTTAGAGGTGGACCCAGACTGGCCATTGTTGTTGTTCTTGTTGTTCTTGTTGTTGTTCCTGTTGCTGCTGCTCTGATCAGGTTTGGTGGTCTGCTGCTTGATCGTGGGTTTCGGTAGCTCGGCCTCGTGAACCGTGAACTTAGGGAAGTTCGCGTCCACCTCAATGGCCTTAGTTTTGCGATCAACCACGTCGAAGTCCATGCCCTGGGGACCGACGAAAGCGCCACATCCCCAGCTGAGTCCGCAGGCCCCCTCGCCGTCCAGAGTACGTCCCTTCTCGCAGGGCTCCCGGATAGTGCCGGGCTTCCCCGGCATGACACTCCAGGCGACGACGACAGGCTTGGGGTTCTTTTTCCTGAGCTGTTCGGTCTGTCCCTTGTGAACATTGCGATATCGGATGGAAGCCATGACCTCGCCGCAGTTGGCGTCATTCTTGTGTTGGAAGGTAGTCTGGCGGTTGTGCTTCAGTTCTTGGGAGGCCTCGTTGGGGTCGGTTTTCGAAAAGCCTTTTCTGGAGGAATGTTGACTGTTGGTATGGCTACCCTTGCCATGGCTGCCCTTAGTACCAGAAGGGTTCTGAGAATTGGGCTGGGGGTTCTTGTGGTCGAGCTCACGCGACTTCCTACGCAGGTCGTCCAGTGCGGCCTTGACATCTGGGGCGTTGTTCTGTAGCACCTCGGCGAAAGCACCGTATCCGTCTTCAACGACGTCCTCGGCCTGGCCCTTGTTCGGAAGAGGCTGTTCCTGCATGTTATAGATGTAGTGGCCGCCGCCGCCCTTCATGTTAGAGGACAGGAAGATCTCGTTTCCGACCTGGATGGCAGTCATGACGTTGGGAAGATTCTTCTTGCTTTCAACCGTATTAGCCGTGCTAACCATTTGGTCGTAGGCCTTTTTCACGATGCCGACGAGATGCCCTGGTTCAATCTTGGCATCTTTATCGAAGGTCAGATAGGAGCCGAACACAGTCCAATCCTTGCTGGTTCCGGACTTAATGGTCTGTTTGATAACCAGCTGCTTTGGCGTATCATCGCGCACCTGGAGAGCAACCGGAGAGGCGACGACCAGGCTCAGGAAGAAGTAAAACAACAGATAGCAAACTTTAGGGATCATTTTGGCGATGGCCTATGCCAACAATAACTAAAGGAAAGACAATAATATAAATCGATACTAAATGAAGGATCAAAAAGAGGGATAGAAAGAAACAAGTAGAAAAAAAAGAATGAGTGACTGATAATTCGAGAGAACGACTGGCCTAAGAAAAGAAACCTTCTTCAGCAGAAAGACAGCTCTATTTATACTTCATTCGCATTAGTCAAATACAAGTCCCAAGTTCCATCTCATACAATCTAGACTAGCCGTGTCCGTTAGAATTGGCCCCCGTGGCCAACATCTGACGGCTATACTAGTTCGCGTTAGCCCTGGGGTCGTTTCACGAGGACAATCAGGGGCCTAGTCGCAGATCTTCAGGGTCTTTCCCGGCGCACCTGCCAGGACATATTAGGCCCGTCACACGAGTAGCGTTGCTGCATAAAGGCGTTTCAAACTATCGTCCAAGCTGTACTACTTCTGCGCTGACAATCCCCTGGGCTCTCTAGAATCATATTAGCGGCGTGAGAAGTTTTCATATTCGGCCCCCCAAAAAGGGCCATCAGTGAAATGAAGGCTATGGTTGGCCCTGTGGGACTCCAAGATCATCATGTGCACATTACAGAGTACACGAATGAGGACCGGTTGGGTATAGGATGATTAGAACAGCTATATTCGTTGACGCATGATAACCGGCCCACTCATGATGAATCTGCTGGATGAAACCTGGCTGCCTTACTCTTCATTATATGAAACATCTCGCTCTTTGGTCGAGAGCTTTCCACGTCTACTCTGTTCGTGATAGTGTAAAGCGTAGCACCCTATCAATCATTAATATCAGAGGATATTGAGAACATCAACTGATTGGCTCAGTACTTTGCCAATTTTCGCTAGCAGGAGATGATATTTCGAACTGTATTGGCGTAGTTAGATCCTCAACATCGAAGAATATGCTGAACGGCTAGATATATGGAATAATTTCAACCCGGAGGAGGATAATCATCCCCCAGCACCCGAGAAGCCTCTAAGGCCCCAAGACCTCACTGCTTCGAATTATCGTGGATTCCAATTGGACCTTCAGGAATATAAGGATTCGAAAAAAACATCGCGAAAGTTGAAGAAGCGATTAAATCGTCGATTGCTATACATATTCAACCGCTCGTCGAAAAGAAGAGACGATTCGAAATACTGAAGGAGTTGAAGCAGCAGTACGCGCTGACGACGGAGAAATTAGAAGATAAGGCCCTGAAGCAATATAAAGCGGTCACTAAGAGATCTCCACGGCGAGGCAGGATCAACGTATGGGTTCAGGAATTCGAAAACGCCTACCTAGCGATTAAACGACTCGAGATGCCTGAAAGTCAGGATCATTATGTGCAGCGAGACTTCTTATGATCGATTGAAGCCATGGATGCTATATACACGAGTCAACACTATTCTGGAATTAGAAGAATGTTATTCAGTGAGCTGCTAAGCGATTTCCGATCCCACCTGATCAACAGCGGTAGGGACTATTCAACAGCTTCAGGATAGCTGTACGCTATACTCAACGGTCAGAGAGATTCAACACGAAATCTGCAGGAATCGCAGGATTTTAGGAAGAGGGAATTTAAACCCTGCCCGTGTGGAGAACATTATCGATATGGGGACTGCCATTATCTTTATTCCAACACTCGACCAAGAAGTTGGAAGCCCGATGAGAAGATTATAAGAGATACCAAGGATTTCGCTTCAAGGTCAGGTCCACGATCTCAACGGATCAAATCAATCATTGAAAGGAACTGGAAGGAAGCGGAAGAAAAGCCTGAATATTATCATGTTATGTCGCTTGCCTTCAGTGATTTACATGAGATCTCTCTCAGAAATTGTTGCATTATCGATACTGGATCCTCTACACATGTTTGCAATGAGATCTCACGTTTTTAAAATATCGATTACTCAAGAAATGGACAGCTTCATGCAGGAGATTCAACCATCGATATCCTAGGTACTGGAAACGTCAAAATGCTTGCTGTAACATTGGGAGCACATAAGTAACAACGTTGAAAGGTTTTTAAAAAGGGGGCCGCTCGGGACACACCCTTCTGGCTCGGGGCACACCTACAGTGGGAGGTATTTGAAATTTAGAACACCCTGAGGATGGGGCCGTGCGCCCGTCCTACCGCCTACCATTTTTACTATGGTAAGC